CCCTCCTAAAGCCCACTACTACTATTTCACCGTGGTACAGTTTCACCGGTTGCTGCAGAACTCTTTTAACCTCGCATCTCTCCACTATGCGCGTCCAGTCTGAGCTCAGTTGGGACGCTGCAGTAGCAGAAAGTGGAGGTATCAGGTATCAGCGAGCCCACAAAATGTGTGTCACCGGGTCTGACTCAACACCCACCTGCCTCAGCTGTCACTCACCGAAACCCTCGGCTTGCTCACTGACTCAAACTACCTGCATGTTAGTCAAATAGCTGCGGGGACAGGAGCAGGGCCATGCAGCACAGGCAGACAACACAGCTGGCTGTGGAAACAAACACAACCAGCACATTAACACACACACACACACTCATGAAAGATGTGGTTTTCTTCTTGCTGTGCACTCACACTCTATCTGCTATGACTGTGTTGAACCATAAGCTGTCAACACATGGAGGAAGATCACTTATTTAGGGTGAGTTAGAGCTGGTTTTAGCTTTAAACTCACAGGAAACTAAATGAACTTAACATCACACACAACCAAGTGCACAAGAGCTTTTATTGGGGGGGCTACTGGAAGCAAATGAAGCAGACTCAGGATGAACGTTAATGTAAAATAGCTTTAATAAGTCGCTGCACTTTCAGCTCCTTAACTTACCGTAATAACAAGCCGCTATCACCGCTAATCACAGCTAAGCTACACGCAATAACCAAGCTCCAGAAGCAGCCTCAGCTCGGGCTCACTCCTCTGCACATTCGCTTGAGGTCACGAAGACATGCCACTCGTTTTGACCAGCGTTTCAAATGGTTGCTCGCGTGTTTATGTGTGTGTTTATTTTACCTTACTGTCTCAGAGCTACCGCGCTCCGCTGTGCTACACCATAATCAGCCGCCCTCCTCTGCACAAAGCGCCGAGTGCGACTGCAGCCGGAGACTACAGGAGACCCGTCCGACTGGAAATAACTCTAAGAATAATGATTTATTGGGGGGGTCGGAGTGGATTTGAACTGATTGGAGAAATCAGCTGTCAGAACTTCGTCCCGGTGTCATGGGCAACGGAAGAGCAGTGAATGCCGGCTGTTATTGTTGTCCGTGTAGACCTGGCGGCAGATAAATAGTTCCGCAGAGTCAGTAGATTTCTAGTGGGTTCTATTTTGTTGTTATTATTCTTTTTTTTTTTTATTTCTGAGTCATCTTATTATTGCAAAAAAGAGACTACAATTCAGATGATTTACAGAGAACAGTATACAAACATATAGAATACAAAAAAACTTTGCCAGGGGAAGCTTATATGTTATTACAAAGAGAAAGAGGACCATGTGTTGACAGTTTAAACCGCCTTTTTGTTGTTGGAGCCAGAAATCAAATAAATATAATTTCATGGAGAAAGGTACAAAATTAGATTTCTTACTGTTGAATTTACATTTGTGAATGTGGAATTTTGCCAACAGAATTAATACATTTTTAATGAAGTACATATTTTCTTTACTTATTTAGCAAAATACCACATTCTCCCACAATAAGGTAAAGTCTTTATAAATATGGTCAATGGTGAATCTGCTGAAGTTTTGCCAAAATGTTCTGGTGTGTATGCATTACCAAAAGAGGTGTAAAACAGTTTCTGGGTGGTCTTCACAAAAAGAACAGTTTGTATTGATGTCTCTTTTAAATTTAACCATGTAATGATTAGCAGGGTAATACCTGTGAATTATCTTTCACCTTCTACTCGGTTCTAGTGGGTTCTGGTTTAAAGGTTAACATACAATCACTACACCTGCTGCTACTGAGTGGATATGTTTTACTGTCGTGTTGTAGCATGCATTAATATCATAACTTGTGTTATTTATTTTATAGTCACTTTTTGTTTTGCACTTCTTAAAACTGTATATGTTTGATGTATGTAAGTTCCTACATAGACATTAGTATTTAAACCTGTACTGTATACATAGCCCTGTCTAGCCTTTATCCTTACTGCTGGATATATTTATATTTTCCGGTGCAATGATTTATTTTTATAACATGCCACTACCTCCTGCTGTAACCTGTGTAATATTCTATTTTAATTTAAATCACATCTGTATAAAAAAAACATTGTATATAGTGTACATACAACCTTAATTCTATTAATGTGTATTTCTTTTCTTTTTTATCTGCTATGTTGTATCTGGAGCTGCTGTAACAAGTGAATTTCCCCAGTGTGGGTCCATCTTATCTTATTTCCAATTATACTGTCACTTAACTTACACGTAGAAAAAAAAAAAACTTCACATTAACACAATAGCCCAGGGAAGATTGTTACACTTCCCCAATCTTGTTTAATATACACAGCTGTTTTTTAACCAAAGTTTAAAATTATCTTCCTAAAGACAAAGGGGATGAGAGAAAGTTTTGCAGAATAATGATATAATAATATAATAATAAAGAATTTGTAACCTGTAAATTATTTATTAATATTAATTATTATTATGTTTAAATACACAGTAAAAAAAAAAACTGTAAACATTTGGGTGAACAAACATAAATGTACTCATATTTCTGTGTATGTACATTGAGAGCAACGTGAAACCAGAGTCAAATTCCTTGTATGTGTGTGCATACCTGGCCAGTAAAAGTGATTCTGATTCAGCAGCATTTATGCTGTAATTGTCATATTCCTTATGAGTGAGCTTTTCTGCCACATTGTAGACCAGCAACCCTTTCCTGTAATACTTTATTTTATTTTATTTACTCTATGAGTCACTCATTTATCTATTTTGGTTTGCCAATTACCTCCAAATTAACTAAATGAACACGTTAATAACACCTTCCAAGATTGATAATAATAATTATAGCCTAATTAAAAAATAATTATGATGGTTAGACTCATCCATACTGTATGACTAAACCTCTTATCTACCTGTCCTGCACACACACACACACACACAGATATGCTATGAAAAGAGCACCATTTGCAAAATAGAAAAATGAGACTCGCTGTTTGAAAAAACAGCTCATTCGTTTCTTGAAGCAAACCCAATTCACCCTAAAGTCTTTGGACAAAACTGTGATTCACTCAGCCAGTTGTTATGGACCCAGGACCATGGGGGTTGTCACTGTAAACAAGAACATGGTCTTGACTGACCTGCCTGGTTAGATGAATGTTTTAAAAAAGAGGAGTCTATTAATATTGGAGCGGATGATTATATTGTATTTCATCTACATCTGTTTAGACAGGTGTTGGCCATCAGGCTTTCTGGGATGCTCACACGCTGAAGGATTTGCCCTCATGACAATGTTATGTTCACTCACTCCTCTTACCATGGTGTGCTTAACACGTTGCTTTTGTTATTCAATGAATGTCAAGTGAGGACAACACATCTGTATTTATTTATGGGAGGGGTACTAATATGTTGTACGGTTGTAACAAAGTGGACAAGAACAGCTGAATAAACTCTTTAAATAAAATGAATGAATTAAAAGACACAAACAATGAAAAGATCAAAATGAACATGAAGTGAGGAAAGGTGAAGTTAGTTCCGCCTTGTCAGGAGCAAGAGATAAAGAACAGACAGTCAGATGGGATCAAGAATTGTGGACAGGAACATACTGAAGGTATCAACTAATAAAACTTTCCACCCTCTCCTCAAATGACTCATAAAAGAGTAAATCCAACATTGAAGATGAAGGCATTCAGTTTGAACTGAAATATTTCTGTCACTTCTGGGTCCATGAGCTCAACAACAGTGTAATGAGGGGGATAATAAAAGTTTGTCGTGCTCTTCTACCCAAAGGGGGTAATTAACTGACAGAGGGTGCACCTTAAGGAATTTCAGATTTCTGTTAATCTGTGCGAACAGCTCTTGAAAAATTAAATGTTAAATTAGCTTCTGTCAACTTTGATGTCTGTAGCCCAACAGTGACTTGGAAAATGTTCACCCAAAGTCAAAAAACATCTGCTGTCTGCACGCCGGGTATTAAAATATTAGGATTTGCCTCTTGCTGCTATGTTGTGTACGTACAATCTAGGCTTTGGGTTGTCTTGAGGGGCAATTTACTGGTCGGCTCACTTTCATCTTCACCCTTCCGACCATGACTGAGATTCAGTCACTCAGCATTGTGGAACAGGTAATGCAAATTTCAGAGACTAAAGAAATCTGAGGTTGTGTTGTTTACTCTCCTCACGATGCTATTCTGGGTACTGATTAATTTGATTTAACATCAAATTAATGTTGATATTTTAAGACCATTTGCTTTGTTGTAAATAGGTGACCTTAATGTCGATTTATAGCAATACTAATCAGTCAACCACTTTCAACTGTAAAAACACAGGATATGAATAACCAAATTGTATTTTTCTGCAGGTTTTACTTTTGTTTTCCACTTTTTTCTGCAGATCGTAAAGTATTTTTTATCAGGGGTGCCTAAACGTTTTCCCTTGGAGGGCCAAAAGTGAAACTTAAAAGTGGCCACTAGTTATCAGCAAAACCTATTATATGGTATTTTTAAGATTTTATACTTTATTCTCTGATTCTTAAACAATAGTACATGTACCACTGGTAGTACACGAGACATCTAGAGATGCTTAAACTGTGAGATCCCTGAAATGTAATTTAAAATGTGTTAGTAAGATGGTAAGTGGAGGTAAAATTAACGGTTTCTGTATGAACTGTCTGTAGCTGATTAGGGTGGGACTAGACTACTGTATTTCTTTCTGTACTTATTTCTGAGGTTTGTGGTTAAATATAGTTTCAGACAGAGTTGAACATTGCCTTAATTGACTGACTTCCTGCACAAAGTGTCACTCTGACCACCATGCTCAGATAATAACAAGTAATAACAATTGTGATTTGTAATAATAAGGGATCCTACATAATCAAAGAGCATTTTTACCTCACAAAAATAAAAGATCATAAACAGCAAGTTTTTATAATTTTTTTTCAGTCTAATTTTAATTTAACTTTTTTGCTTGAAACACCTGGCGGCCCAAATCAAACCTTATGGCGGGCTTTGGCCCATGGGTCCCAGTTTCGGCAGCCCTGAATTAGATACACAAGGAAATCAGCTAACTTGTGTTTTAGCAGGTGTTTGAAAATGATGCATTTACTTTATTACTCACAACCTAATGATGATTTTCCAGGCAGCAAAGTGCGTTAAAATTGCTGTGTCTAGGCACAGAGATAAATCCTAACCTCTGCATGGTAGTTCACCATGACAATGCTAACATGCTGTTGTTTAGTAGTTATAATAATTACCATGCTCAATCTCTTTAGCTTGTTAGCATGCTACCATTTGCTAATTAGAACTTAAAGACAAAGTACAGCTGTGGCTGATGGGAATGTCATTAGTTTGTGAACTGTGAACTGTGTCTTAAACATTTTATTTTTGACCTGATGATGGCATTAGATACGAACTCAGGGGATCACCAAAGTCAGGAGTTCAGAGTTAGGATTCGTCTGCTGGGCACCATGAATCTCTGCATAACAAATTGTGACAATCCATCCAACAGTTGTTGAGATATTTAAGTCTGGATCAAAGGATTCTGTTATAATTTGAACAACTTCCATAAATGAGAGGACTGCCATTTCAATCTTTCACCTATAACTTGGTATGTATTTTGTTATCTTAAGTCATCCATGTTATACCATCAAAGTGACATCTGGCTGTCAATTTAAATTAGACTGTCACTGTGACTGCAGCAGCAGTGACAGTGGCCCCAGTGGCTCTAATCTTAATCATGTAAAACCAAAGTGTTACACCTGGGGCTTTGTTCTCCCTGCTGGACCACGTGACCCAGATGTGAGCGTGGTGTCTACTCAGTTTAAGGGGAAAACTTCTCTGCAACAACATGACTAATGCACATGTCATAATAATACAAATCCCGTCTTATACTGCGTGCTTGCTTTACTTCTGTTGCACGGTTGCCACAACCACAGGTGGTTTAAAAACAAGCAAGAACAACTCAATGTACACTTGAAACAAGAAAACAAATTACCTATCTGCAAGCAGAACACATGATCCAAAATGATGGCTGAACAAACAATGGCATAGGGCTTTTCTTTTTAAACTAAGCTTTGCACATAATTTAGATAAAATTGAATTAAACTTGAGTTAAATTACTGTAAGTGCAGCAGCTGGTTTTGAGAGGAGTAAGTCTCTTAGTTTAGTTATTTAAGGTAAACCCCAGCACCCATTTGTCAGGTCAGAAAAAGACATAAACAGCCTAACACATTACAGGACAGCAGCTTAGTAAGTGGCTCCTCCCTCAGGGTCCCATTAGATTAACTGTTAATACCCTAGTTGATACTCAGACATATATGTAGGGAGAATGTGTAACTTGATAGCAAAAGGATGTCTTTTAACCATAAATGGGCACCGACACAGATGAAAAGGTGGTGGCAGTACTTTGTCGTACTGTCCTCAGGCATGTGGAAATCTGATGTAATGTGCAATTTATGCCAGCACCAAGAGTCACATGCTCATAGCTATCAAAAGCTTATATTAGCAGGTGACTCATGTGTGGAAGCATGGGAGGACTGTTACCTCCTGTGGAATACAGTTCACTTCAAAATGAATAAAAATATGTAACACATACATTTTTCATTTTCAATCAAAATAAATATTTGCTTTGTTAAAGGACCAGTGTGTATTGATTTTAGTGGCCATCTAGTTGGTGAGTTGCCCAGATTGCAACCATTTGTAATACAGCATCACACATCCCTTACCAAGCATGTAGGAGAAACTAGTGTGGTTGTGAAACTTGTGAAAAACGTCCATTCTGGGCTACTGTAGAAATATGACGGCTAACATTGCCGCCCTGCTCCCTCTGTAGATAAAAAGGGCTCATTCTGAGGCACCAAAAACACAACAATTCCCATTTTCAGGTAATTATACACTAATGAAAACATACCTTTGAATATTATGTTCCATTTCTGCCTATAGATCCTCCTTAATGTTACACACTGGACCTTTAATGCAAAAAAAATATGACATGAGTTTAATACACTTCTGTTGTGTTATTAAATTGAAATATGTTTTAATCAACATTTCTTCCACAGTAGTCAGGGCTTTTTGAGTTTTAGCACAGAATAGGTGAGTGGTGTTACACACAGCACTTTCGATGAGGGGATGGAAACATCTGTACAGCAGATACACCAGACATGCTCACTGTTTGACAGAACAGCTTGTTTGGTTTGAAGTCATTCCAGCTCCGCAGTATTTTAATGCAACAAGTGAGTTACTATCTCTGCCTGGCATCATTGACGTAAAGAGCGAGTCCATTTTCTTTCATCACAGACAAAAGGATTTAAAGTCTCCCACTTATACGCACAGAACTATCACCTAAAATGAACTTGAGCAGTACTAACTTTTGTTTGATCAGTGAAATCCTCCTTTATTTGAATATGGGAGGAGGAGGGAAGATGTTTCTCGTGACGAATACAAATGACCATGGAAATTAGTTAACTTTTATTTCTATATTCAAATATGAGTGCTGAAAATCATTTGTATGATAATCCTTCGTGGCTGACTACGGTTTGTGCGTGACTCCTGAATTATCCCAACATTGCACACCTAAAATACTCTATATAACCCAGTGTATGAGTGTGTGTGTGTGTGTGTGTGTATAAGTCAAATCTGTAGCAAACACTGATACAATTTATTGGAAAAGGGAGCATTCTATCAGCAGCCCCTTGAGAAGAGGTAATGTTTCCCATCAATAATCTTCCAGACAATAGCACAATGTTTGTGGGAGATCTGAATGGAACTTTGAGCTCATACAGCTGCAACAACAGATACACAGGAAGGCTCAGATTTGCCAGATGGTGCTATGTTTCAAAAACAGGAGAACTTGGAGTTGTTGCATATAGCCTTACTTTCCATTAGTAACGAATCACCATTGCAATTTAAGATTTTACCCACTTTTCTTAAAGCACGCTTTGATGTGTAATAGAGGATTGCGTTATAATTACAATGAGGATCATTATTATGTTTTGGTCCATCAAAATGGTAAATACAAAGACACTGATTAATTTGACGGGTAAACTGTAATGATTTAATAGGCACTTTTCACAGCAGCTGCTAATACGTTTGAGTGTTTATCTAGTCAGGCCCACAACACAACAGCACTGAAGCTGCTTCTTACTCTGCTACACACATAACTTCTACTCTTTTGTATATGTAATTTAATACAAATTTGTACCTTTTTGATCAGTGTATTTCACCAAAGACATGACTAGAAACATACACACTCTTTGAAAGTATAAAAAAGAACTATTAAATACTACTAATTTTCTAGCAGGGCAACCTAGAGGGCACATTTATCACATTACCTTGCACACTGGCCACCGTAAAAGGGCACTAAATCATGCACTTTTGGGTATTATCATGATGGCTTTAGGAGGGTAGATCTGGAAAATAAAATAGCTCAAGGCTAAACTATACAAAGTGAAAACCTGCTGCCCATGTGCTACTAGGTGCAGACAATACAAACATGCCCCCTCAGAACACCTGTGTCAGTCAGAGTCTGGTCTTGGCCTCAAGTCATGCCAGCAGCTACCAATAGCACAAAAGGACTGAGGGCTTACAGTAACATTTCTGCATTGCCAACACTAAAATGTGCTTGCAATAAATGTCTCCAACATGGACTATGATTCAGAATCCAAGAAAGAGGCCAAGACCTCACAAGCGAAGGCATCTTGGATGTTTCTGTTTGGAAGAAAGCAGATAAAGACAAAAAAAGTGTAGGATTCTGTCACAAACACAACTAACGACAAATTCTGTGAGACTGTGTGACAAAGCTCCTAGTGTTATAACTTAGTCTTACTTTCGTCATACTTCAAATGACGAGACACTAGAGCTTTCACACAGACATTCACCTTTAGTGAATGAAAACGGTTACTCACTTTGGATCAAGCTAACAACAAAACATCAGTTTCATCAAAACAAAGTCACAACACCCCAAATAAATCCACTGTAGACTGCAATATCATATAAAAATACAATGGTGGTTTAAGGCCGTCCACATGGTGTGAGTACAACATCTCTAAAAATAACAAGTATATAAATCCCAAATTCTGAGTCTGATGGGTTGAGATGGGTTTCTAAAACAATCAAATGAAAGTGAAATTATCTTGAGGTTCTTAGTGAGTCAGAGTCTCTGCTATGACAAACTTTCATGGAACATGACCTAATGACCTTGTGTTGGACTGTGTATGTAGTCTGCTTTTAGAAAAGGAACATAGAGCCAAGACAAACATGTCCATTGATATACTCCCCTTCAGTGTCCTGTAAAAAAAATGTTGTCTGTTGACTGTTTATTTTATGTCTCTTTCTATTCACTTATTTAGTTAGAACTGTGCACTATTTATTTATGTTTTTATACTTAATGTGCTGTATGTCGCGCATGTATAGCATATTTGACAAATAAAGCTGACTTTGACTTTGACTTTGACTAT